ATTATAAGTTGAGGAATTAAAAATGTATATATTTAGACAAATTTAAAGGATTAATTGACAAAAAAACTCAAAAAAATATATTTTTCATAGTTAAAAAAATTAAAAATTCATAAAAGAGTTAAAAGACAAAAAATATATATTTTTAAATAAAAAATAATAAATTTTGTGTCCATATTTAAACATTTTCTCTAGAAAATATACTTAAATTGTATTGAACCATCATGTTGTGGGATCCTCCCTAGGGTGCTTGGGAGTCCGGCCTTATCACTAACTAGCAGGTTATTTTATGGTCATTGTATTTTTTTTTAAAATCTTTATAGTCATTGTTTTTTAGTTTTTGATGTAAAGTATATCGCTAGTTCAGTACATGTATATATATTTCAAGAGCAAACTATAATTATTGAGTACAATATACAAATAAATTAAGAAAATTTGAAAAAAAAAAAAAAATCAGCAGGCAAAGGTGTTGAAAGTCACAATTTTAAAGTTGTGGTTCTAGGCTTCAATTTAGATTATTTTGATTTTTAATTGAAGTAACAAAAATGAGAAGATAAAACAAAACCTTATATTAAGGTTTTGAACTTATATTAAAATTTTAATTAAACCTTTAAATTTTTATTAAAGTAAATAAGTTCCTAAATTTTTATTAAAGCAAACAAGTTCTTAAATTTGTTAATCTAAGCAATTTAATTTTTTTCTAACTACATACTTATTTCTTATTTGTGCTTTATTTATGTAGATAAAATTAATACCCACAACATAAATAATAACATGTTAATATCTTATCTATAAAAATGAGCACAAATTAACCTTAAATTTGTTGTAAAAAGAAGGTATTAAATTATCTAAATAGCTAAATTTAAGGATTTATTAATTTAACAAAAATTTAAGAATTTAATAAAAAAATTGAAATAAATTTAGGAATTAAAAAAAAAATTTGCCAAATGATAACTGATAACTCAACTTAGCCGTTTGTCCAATTTGGACGTTTCACTTACACGAAATGATAAGGGGTGATCTGTAACATAAATATTAAGGAGAGTAAATGTGCCAAAATAAAAATAGTTCTGGAACTTTCTGAGTTCTTCAATACAGGGCAAATTTCGTAAATAAGCGAAACTAGATCATTTAGGTCGGGAGTTCGCATGTCCTTCTCAACCCACAGATTTTTTATTCTTGTTCACGTTGAGTACTAAAACCCCAACTCTCGATTCTCTCCTTCACTCTACGGGAAAGCCTTCGGCGGCGAAGAAGAGAAACCCGAATTTAGCTTTCTCTGCAGTAAACCAAGGGAGAAAAAATGGGTTTCTTTTCTTTCCTCGGGAGAGTCCTTTTCGCTTCTCTCTTCATCCTGTCCGCCTGGCAAATGTAAATTCCCTTCTTCTCTCTACATTAGATCTGTACCGAATCCTGTTTGTACATGTTTTTCATATGGGTTTATTTGTTAGATCTAGTGAGTGACCCTTTTTGGCTTAAAGATCCCTGTTTTTTATTTTGGGTTGTTGTGTTTTTCAAGTTTTAATAATGTTTTGTTGTGTTCTATTAGCTATCCGTACTGTTACATTGATGGGTTCTGGATGGTAAGTCTGTTGCCTGATAAAGATTGATTTTTTACGTTATTTTATCTATTGTCCAGTTTTAGTTAATAAATTGGGCTATACAGTGTCTTTGATCTTTAGAGTTAAAGTCAACAGTATCTATTATAACATCTAATGCATCAAGGATATTCCCTGCATAATGGTAATTATGGGAATTGGGAAAAGAATGACGGCTGAGGGTGCTGTAATGGGAATTTTCTTTGTCTCTGATGTTAGAATTTAGCTTTAGCTTAGAGAATTTTGGGGAGGGGTTGACTTTTAAATTTCTTGTAAGAATTGATGTGTATAATGTTATTTGGCTTGTTTTGGATATGAATGGCTTTTGAGTTAGAGATGAGAAATTGTTAACCAAAATGTATAGGTTGTTCTTTGGAGTGATGTGTTTTGTGTTGCAGATAAAACAGTCTTTTGGTGACTCGGAGCTTACCTGGTGGGGAAGTGTGTTGGTTTTACATGCTGGATTAAATATTCTTCATCTCTAAGTTCAGCATGACTGCCCATGTTGGACCAATAAACTACTGAATAAAATGTTTTCAAGAATGAAATGTCCTCTGAATGGGAAAATTACACTATTTCTTCTGGTTTGCATATTACTATTATAACTTTTTACTGTCAGAAATTTTTGCATTTTATATATTGGTATTTTTGGGAAAAAAAATTGTTTCTTCTGTTAGTTGGTGGATTCTTTTGATCACATGAGATTAGTTAATTATTGTATGTCTTTTTTTGGCTGTTTGTTTTGCACTTGAGGTATTGCCTGGAGAATTATGATTTTTCCATTATTGGCGATTACTATTGACTATTGAGAAGATGCATTTTTGTCCCATGAAATGGGAAACATGATATATGATAGACCCTGCCAGTTGTATATTTTAGTTTCTGGATCCCTGAAAGCCCTGGGTCATGTGTTGAAGTGCTTGTTCATTAATTGCTTTCCATTTTGGTTTTGATTGTAGATTTAAAATCATTCTCCTCTCTTTAATATAGATGAAGCCTAGCATTTTCTGTCATTATATTGTTTTAATTACCTTGTTCTGAGACTTCTGGGTCCTAAGGTTTGTCATGAAATATTTGTTATATTTTTTAAGGTGTTAATGGAGTATCTTGGCAGGTTTAATGAATTTGGGCCTGATGGTGGGCCTGCGGCAAAGGAGTTGATACCGAAGCTTACTCTTGTTAAGAAACATGTATCTGCCCAACTCAAACTGAAACTGCCAGATATTGATGTAAGATTGTTTTTTTATTTTTGAGTCTTGGCTAATACAAATTCACTCTATTAATTTTCTTTGTCTTCCCATCTTGCATGCAAGTTGCTCTTTTCCTGATGCAAAGCCATTTCTACAGGTGAAGCAGGTAGTTGCAACTGCAATTGCTTTGAAAGGACTGGGAGGCATTTTATTCGTATTTGGCCAAACTTTTGGAGCATATCTTCTGGTTAGATTTTCTTTTGTTGTTTGATTAATTAATGCTTTTGAACCGTAAATGTGTACTGTAATAACATTTCGATTCTGATTTATTTTGCCACAGCTTGTTTACTTGGCGTTAAGCACTCCACTTCTGTATGATTTCTACAACTATAGCTCCAGTGACCCTAAATTTCAGGGTCTCTTGTGCAATTTCTTGCATGTACGTTGAAATTTAGAAATTCATATCTAAGGGTTTTTTTTTTTTAATTGCCAGCATTATAGTTTGGGAACAATATTATGGTCTGACAACTATGTAATCGTTGTCTTTTGATCATTGGCAGAGTGTTGCACTGTTTGGTGCATTGCTTTTCTTCTGGGGAATGAAGAACTCTATGTCAAAGAGGCAACTGAAAAAGAAGCCTGCCACCAAGACAACAAAAGCAGCTTAGATATTATTTAAGGAACAAAATGTTCACGTAGGCCAACAGTCAAGTAATGCTGCTATTTGGTGGCTGGCATTATTTTGTGGATCCATCCGTGCCAAGTTTGCTCCTGCCCTTGTACTGTTGTTATTTTGATTGTTTATTAGGTGACTGAACTTGGGTTGCGCTTGCCCCTTGTTTATTTATTTCTTGGTCAGATTTAATTTTGAGCTTGAAACGTTAGGATTAGACTTCAGATGTCTTTTATATTTTCTGGCAGTCCATATAAAATCACAAAAGCAGTTTATTTCATGTTTGTTATATTTTATGCATTTTTTGACTGTCTTAAAATATCTTTTAATTTCACTGGAAACGCATTCAGAGTTGAATTGTTTTTTTATTTTTATTTTTTGCTATCGTCAGAGTTGAATTGTTCACTTGAGAAAGCTCAAAACAAAACAGAAATGGAGTTTTTTCATGGACCATGAATTTTGTGTTGATATTTTTTTTGGCAAAACCCTTCTTAAGTCCCTCAACTTTTCCAACAATAAGTGATGAAACCCCTGAACTAAGAAGAGTAAAGAAGCCCTCTAATCCGACGATTGAAGCAAATTGGCCCCTCCACTAATTGAGCTTTGTGACATGGTTTGTTTAATGGCTTGCGTTGCGTGGCATTTAATGTACATGTTTCATCTAGACTTAATTAGTGAAGGGGTTAATTTGCTTCAATCATGGGGTTGGAGGGCTTATTTGCTCTTTTTTAAGTTTAGGGTTTGGTCATTTATTATTGAAAATGTTGAGGGGCTTAAGAAGGGTCTTTTCCTTTTTTTTTTTTTTTTTGGTACATTAGCTTATAGAATATACAACTAGGGATGGACCTTCCCTCTCATTAATCCCTCTCAACCAACTTGACGACTTTACCATAAAATCTTAAGGTCTTAATTGCTTGACACACCTCTTTTACCTAAAATTTTATATTGATATGATATCTAAGTAATATCAAAATACTGCAATAACACTTTCTGAGTGGAGTACAAAGTGATTTTTTTTTTTTTATATTCGTATAATAAGTTATACAATAAAAAAACACTCTTTTCCTCAAAATTTTTCTCAAAATTTTTCTCATTTATTTTAATATTTAAATTTAGAATTTTCAACATATAAAAATTAGAAAGTGATGTGGTGCCAAACGGGCCAAGAATGGTTATATTTTATGGGGCTATATAGCCCGTAACAGCTAAAAAGTTCGGCCTGTTGAGGAACCTAGCCGTAAGATACGACGTCGTTTGGCAAGCAGAAATTTCTGCCGTCGTATTTTCCGGTTAGAGGAAAAAAATTCCTCAGCACAGCTTTTTTTTTTTTTTTTGATCGGAAAATCCACAGAACACTTGACTTGGTTCCGAGGGTCGACGGCGGAAAGTAGAAGCAACAATATTGGAGAATAATCTTCTTCCGGTATCATGGTAAAGAAGAAAATCATGAATATCAATCTATAATTTCATGGAAATGTTTTCGATTTTTCAATCTCGTCACCGGATTTTCATTCTCAGGATTACTTGAAGACGGTGGTTCCGTCGCAACTGGTTTCCGAGCGTGGCTCCAATCTTGTCGTCATCAACCCTGGCTCTGCGAATGTCAGGGTAGGGCTTGCGCGGCAGGACTCTCCGTTCATCGTCCCTCACTGCATTGCTCGGCGCACCACCCAAGTCCCCAAGCTAAACGTTCAAGATCAGGTTCAACATCTTCAAACAACGACTTTTTCCCCTTTTTTTTTTTTTCTCTCTGAATTTTCATTTGTTATAATGAATCTCGCACTCTTGTTTTAGATGCTTAATTCTCAGGTTAGCACCGCGCAGCACATGGAGCGCGAAAAGGCTTATGATACTGTGAGTTTTTTTTTTTTTTTTTGCAATCCTTTGGTTTATCTTGGAATTTCTCTAATATAAACGCACCTTCGAATTGAAAAGTTTGTTTGTTGATTGGTTTTGGAAGATTGCATCGTTGTTGAAGATACCTTTCCTTGATGAAGAGGTTGGGAACAACTCTTTTCCTCAAAAGGTATGTGCAGTGGTGAATTCCAAGTTTCAACTCTTTACATTTTAGTACTCCCTAAAGTAAGGAGAAAATCTACATTTAAGTAATCTTACAAAATAATGCAACATATTGTTTTTGGATGATTTTCCCTTTTTTGGTTTAATAATCTTTCATTTTGCTTCAATTCAGCACGTTTCCACATTGATTAGTTGTAAGGATATTTGAGCCAACAGAGGTAGATGATGGTTAGATAACTTATGACAACCATGCAGCTGTTTTTGTGGCCAGTTAAAGCAGCTTATGGTAGTAAAATTAGTAAAGCTACCTTTTGCAGATGGGGCGTATTGATGGATGTAATCTGCAGAATCCCAAAAAGGATCATGCTTTCACTTGGACTGATGTGTATGTAAAGGGCCAAAACTTGTCAATTGGATCAGGTAACTAGATTTTTCTTACCTTATTGATTCTTCTTCTGCATGCTATATTTCACTTTCTCTTGTATGCATACTGGAAATTGAATTCCACATCATTTTTTTGTCAAGCAACTTATCTTCACTACAAGTTGCATTCTTCTTCTAAGCAATCCAAGAGTTGTCTCCAAACATGGACATCCTTTGTAAAGCATTGGGATTTTGAGTTTTTGGCTTTTCTCTTAAAGCTTTGGCAGTGGTATCCTTTTAGCATCAAAAGTTCATGGAAAAGTTGCATGAGAAGAAATCTTTATGGAATGATTGCAAGTCCTATCCCTTTTGTCTTATATTTGCAGCCTCTTCAATTGTTGTTTCTGTTATGCAGAAAGTTCAATGAATAAAAGTGTTGCGAATGAGTCATTGGGCCAGCAAGCAGGTACTAATTCTGGGGAAACTAGTTCAAACGAATGCAAGTTCAAGGAGTTCATTTGTGGTGAGGAGGCACTGAGGATATCTCCCACTGAGCCATATTGCTTGCGGCATCCTATTCGCAGAGGCCACCTAAATATTTCACAACATTATCCTTTTCAGCAGGTAAGTCTTCGTTGGCCAACAAAAATGAAAAGCACATAAGTCTGTTGGCTTGTCTTTTAAGAGGATGATTTTCATTGTGTTATTTTCTTTATTAAATAATAGAGAAGTGTTCATCACATCTTCAGTTATTGCAATCCTTCGTAAGTTGTGGTTGTCAGCTTACTAAGAATTGCTTTGTTATACTGAAATGATAAAACTTAAATATTTAATTATTAATTTAGTTATGCTGTAATTTTTTACTTGAATACATATTTAATTTATGTATCTAATTTGTTTGGATTTATATTTTGCTTATTCTGCAGGTTCTGCAAGACCTGCAAGCCATTTGGGATTGGATTTTGATAGAGAAATTGCATATCCCTCACGATGAAAGAAACTTATATTCTGTAATTCTTGTTGCTCCAGAAACATTTAATAATCGTGGTATTTATATGTTATGTTTCTTCTCCAGATATAACGTTTCTTTACTTGCACACTTGCTTTCTATCAAGTTTCATGAGTCTTAGTATAACTGTGCATATACTTGTGTCAAGAAAAGAATAGTCCATAATTTTCTCTGTTTTTATGATTTGCTATGAGCAGAGATAAAGGAAATATTGTCTATTTTACTGAGGGAATTGCATTTTACCTCTACAGTGGTCCACCAGGTGAGAATTTGCAGATGCTTTTACATACAACTTAAAATAAAGTTTTCATTCCAGCATCAAGCCAGTAGTTACCTTTTTTCAAAGCTGGTGGTTCCACAATCAAGTTGAATCAAAAAATAAGAGATTATTTCTGTTGTTTATCCATTTACTTAATTAAATGGATAGAAATAAAAATAAACAAATTTTAGAAATTTGTTTGCACTGGTGCTTTTTTTTTTTTTTTGTTGCCATGGTTTCCACTGGTGCTTGAAATCCTTATTTTTTTGTTCACTGAAATACTCAATTTTTGTAATGGTATGTATATATGCATGTATAACTAGAAATGTCAAATGAATGACCAAACAACGCAAGTAGATGCTGAACATCCATTGATGGTTTTTGTTTACTTTGCTTTAAGTGTTGTTGGTTGTCTTCTTTCTTGTCACTCAACATTGCTTTTCATTACCTTATTAATAGCGATTTCTTGGATATAATCACTACTAATTGATTATTTGATCCATCTTATATGATCATGGTCTCAGGAAGGGCTGGCGGCAGTTTTTGGGAATGGTTTATCAACAGCATGTGTTGTAAATATTGGTGCTCAAGTGACATCAGTCATTTGCATTGAGGTAACTGCAGCATCTGTTTGTCTTTGGTTTTTATATTACTTTTGGCTTTTTCTATATTGTATATTGTATACATAAAAACATTATGGCGGAGTGGCAAATGATAAGGAAGATACAATGTGATCTTGACATCATCCTCTTCATCTAAAACTCTGCCAATGCATTGTGGCTAATTGTGACAACTGGCTTGCACCAGCCCTTGAAAATCACCATTGATGGTGCCTACTCGGTTCTCCATTTTCAAGGACCAACAGTTTGTGTTGACAATGGCATTATCATGATGGCATAGTTCATTCTAATGAAATGCACTTCCATTGCTGAAGTATTACTGTGCTTTATGTTTTCCCATGTCCTTTGCTTTTGTATGTACCAAGAAGCAAATTGGAGCTTAGGTGAAACATCCCTATCCTTAAATGTAAGAATATTACAAGTTTAGTCCTTAAATGTTAAAAGTTAAAACAGTTGAGGACTAAACTTTTAATATTTTTGTATGAGTGCTTCTGGTGCTATTCATTAGTAGCAGAGCTCGAAATGCTTAAATTATGAAGAGCTATTATTTAACTATAAATTACTAACTTCTTGTCTCTATAAATATACAGGATGGAGTGGCTCTAGCTCATACAGAAAAGACTTTGCCTTTTGGAGGAGAGGTGTGAATTCTAAATTGTCTTAATTTGCTGCTAGATGTCTGAATTAACTATACATATGTGGGGAAGGTGCTCAAATTGACTTTTGGTGGCTGAGTTAATCCATTCATACTTTTTAGATTCGTCAAGCTTTTACTCCATTTTCATTGTACCCCATGCAAACTGTGCATAGCAATAAACCTATTTTTAAGGTGTTATTTTTGTGACTTTGGTTCACTAAGCATTCAATGAAGTAACTGCTGGAATGCGTTAGATCAAGACATACACTAATTAATGTTGCAAAATGTTAAATGTTAAGTCATGTTAAATACTTCCATGGAGTTGCAGTTTGATTCTTTTACCATGTCAGAATGTCTTATTGTCTTCTAATACATTCATGCCTCCTATTTACTTATGCAGGTATGTGTATTTTCATGTTTGCAATAAAGTTCATAAGCTAGTATTGGTTCATTTTATTTTTTAGATAATTTCTTGTCTATTTTGAGTTTGTTTCAGCTGAAATATTTTGAATCGAGTACACAAAACAGTAACATGCAAAATGATGCTCAGTAATTTGCTCAAACAAGTAGTAGACAGCCCCTCATCCTCAGAGAAATTTCTTGGCTCTGTCTGCTATTTTAAAGTTTTTAATGCTTTGTTGGCTAGATACCATTTTTAGGGAAAAATGAAATCCAGTGTTTCTTCCAATTTAGTTGATATCATAATTTTTCCTTGGTTATGTTATCTTTTCATGCCGGAAGTTTTGTTTTCATTTGTTTGAATGAGGCTTCCTGAAAAGTGTTGGAATAAAAAAGTGGAACAAGCTTTCATTGATTTTTGAATCATGACAGTCCAATGAGTATTGAAATTATTGATATTTGTTTTAGCCTTCTAGCTGAATTTATCTAAAAACATTTTAACAATTGAAGCAAGCTTTCCATTGTATGGTGATGAACTGATGATTATATGAATTTTCTTTTTAATTTTTTATAGGATATGTCAAGATGCCTTCTTTGGACTCAGAGGTATCACCAGACTTGGCCACAAATTCATACTGACATCTTGACAAAGCCTATAGATCTTTTGATGCTTGACAGACTGAAAGAGTCCTATTGTGAGATTAAGGTCAGTATTGTTGATACTGTTACTTTTATCTTCCACATAAAGCATTTTCAAGCTATTTTTGTGAGCAACCATCTTTGTGGTAAAAAACGGGGTAAAGGGTGTTTCTAGATGAACTTCAGGGTTTGGGAAGCCATAAAGGAAGGCTGCCGAAATGATTTCTCGATGCTCTGCATGATAAGCCAATTTCTGAGATTGTTTCTTATATTGTACTTTACTATACTGCAAACAGGAAGGTGAGCTTGATGCTGCTGCTGTTGTACATTCTTATGAGGATGGGATGCCAGCTGGATCTCATAAGATAAGGCTAACTGCTCTTAACGTATGCCTTAATGAACTCTTCTAGCATTTGTTCTCCCTCCTCAAAAAGGATATTTGGCCAACCAGGATTTTGTGTTTCTGATTGTTCCATTAAATAGGTTCCTCCCATGGGTCTATTCTACCCAGCGCTTTTGGTTCCTGATGTATATCCTCCTCCACCTTGCTCTTGGTTAGTAAGATTTGAAAAATTGTATTTACTTCGTAGTTTTGTAGGTTTTATCCCTTACTATAATCAACGCTTGTTTTACTTACCAGGTTTCATGACTATGAAGATACACTTGAAGATGTATGGGATAATCCTAGGAGATCTGACATGTCAGACAGTCTTTTTCCTGGCATTAGTGCTGGGTTACCAATGTGGGACACCTACCCGGTTTTTTCAACTAAACCAAAGAAAGAAGAGAAGGTTGGCCTTGCGGAAGCCATAACAAGTAGCATTCTCTCAGCTGGTATCCTTGCATCCATTTATTTATTTTGCATTCTTTTATTATTGTTATTTTATTAAGCTGACCTAACTTTTTGGTTCTTCAATGGCAGGCCGGATAGACCTCCAGAGAAAATTTTTCTGTAGCATACAACTGGTACGTTTGGATTGGTTATTTTGACTTACATTGTTCAACATATTTTATATACCTGACCAGCTGACATCTATCAATTCTTTAGATTGGTGGGGTGGCTTTGACTGGTGGGCTCATGCCTACTGTGGAGGAGAGGTTTGTTTTCTATTTGCATAGTATCAAATATTTTTACCAGCATCCTAATGTAGAGCAGTGTGAGCTTTGTGCATAATGTTCCATGCAATTGTCTTTAAGTGCAGAATCCTCATGCTTTGCCTAGAGCATTTCATCATGAACAGGAAAATTAGATGCATCAGCATTTTTAATTTTTACGGCTTTTGAAACCAATCAAGAGCCTATGCTGTCAATTATATTCCACAAATTCATAGCATGTATCATAGTATGACTTCAGGAAATCAAATCAGTCTGGCTAAGTATTAGGATTATTACAGCTGAAAGAGCTTTCAGCAAAGCTGATTTTGAATTCAATATCAAAATGTATTTGCCAAAAGAGCATTATTTCAGGATTGGAATCTAATGCCTATGTGCTCTCCTCTAATACTACTATTGACACTGCCTTTAGTATAGAAACCATGGTATGTTCCAACACCAAAATAATTTTTCTATCTTTTAAGGTTTTTCCTTTCTTGTGCAGGGTTTTACATGCAATTCCTTCAAATGAAGCAATTGATACTGTTGAGGTCAGTTTGCAGAATTTCATTTGTCAAAATAAGTAGTATAATAAGCAATTTCCATGTCTTTAACTGTCTCAAGAAGGATAGAGATAGCATCTGTTTGTGTTGCAGAGGCTGATATTTGGAGAGTGGGTTCAAGTAAAAATTAACATTAGACATGGCTCAATGATTTGGTGTGATTAGATAAAGGCTAAAGCCAGTGGTGGAAAAAGGTTATCTAGCAATTGGAATTGTTCAAAATTTGATTTTATATATAATTGATGATAAATTTTATATGCAATACATGGTAGATGACAAATTGATAAACATTATACAAGTTTATTGGCAGACTGATTTGATTCACCCAACATTTCCTTTAGACAGATAATTTGATCAACACCTAGAAACATTCAAATTGCCTTGTAAAGTAAGACTTGTTTTCTATGAACAAATTGTTTGTTTTACGTTGTTCATATTTTTGCAGATTGGTTTTAGACTTAATTTTTCTCTGTACCTTACATGTTTCTTTTCTTTCTATCTTCAGTTGTGGATTAAGATTTTGAAATTTGTTACCCTCTGACATGAAATAGGTTCTGCAGTCAAGAACTAATCCAACTTTTGTATCTTGGAAAGGTGGAGCGGTAAGCTATCTTCTCACTGTTTTTTATGCTTTCTTGTGCTGGGTTCTTTGACTGCAACGGAAGCTGCATCTGTTGGTTGCAGTTTGGATATGCAATGCCTCAATTAGTTTTTCTTATCCCTGGGGAAGATATTGCAGCAATTAAACATGAGAACTTGTCAAGTAATTGTTGTCCCCAAAACTAGTGTAAACAGTAGTATTTCTGGGGGAACATGAAAATGATTTCTATGTCCAAACAAATAATTATCCTCTGGCTTGCAATACATATCAATATTGAGCATGCTCTGTACTGAAAAGCTTGTTTATAGCAGATTCTTGGCATTCTAGACTTCAGTCGGGATGCATGGATACACCGGGATGACTGGATCCGCAATGGTATTCATGTTGGGAGTGGCAGGAAATACAAGGACTCCTACTTTCTTCAAGCACAGGCAATGTGTTATATAAATTCCTAGGAAGTTGTAGTCTTGCAGGCAAGACTCATATAGTCCATGTTCAACATCAAGCTCCCAGGTACATATCTTTTCATAAATGATTAATTCCAATTGCACATAAAGCATTCTATCTGACAACAACCAACACTTGGTTTGCAGAATCAAGAACTACAGATTGCAAGCTGTTTACTCTTCTATGTCATGTACAGCTGCTTATTCTCTGGTCCTTGCTTTGTGGACTTGTTTAACCAATATTATTTGTAGCTGTTCACCTGATTTTTCATTCTTGTGGGCAACTATTCCAATACCCAAGGGGGTGATATCATCAGATCTCTCAACGCATACACTGACAATCTCTTATGTTCAATTATTGGTGACAGTTTTGGGCGTAATTTTCATCCAGATTTTCCATGGCCAATGTCTTTTGGTCATTTAGTTGTTGTGGATGATTAAATCCCTTGATTCAATAACCGAAGCTTTTTAAATCAGCTTGATATGAATCAGTTGATGCTAATAAACTTTCATCTATTGTACCCTTTTTCTCTCAAACTTTTATGAACAGATGGTATTGTAAGCAACCTTGTAATCAAGTAGTATTCTTTACTAATTTGATCGAGCTTTCAACTACCTGTTATCACCGTTCATCACATCTTTTGCTTGTATTTTTGCTCAAATTCAAGGATGAAGTCCCAAGCCACTAAGTATCTGTATCCCTGATGCTTTTTAAGTTTTAAATGAAGCACCATTTGGGTTGTACTTGTACCGTTGTAGGCCTATGGTTCTGTAAAAAGCTATATACATCCCACATCGGAAAGGCAGAGGCCCATACCAAGAAAAAATGGAAAATAAATAGCCACTTCAAGCTCTTATACAAACTAAAAGGGTCGGTTGGCTAAATATGCCACGCTCGCCTTCGACTGGCGGGTGCTGTATGGCTATCAAGACATATGGCTGACATAATTTCTGGAACTTTATAGGGTTGGCCCGACTGGCCGACCCTTCAAATTTCAGTATATGTTTTCTTAAGTCGTCAACATTGTAAAAGAGAATTTTTTTTATTAATTTTTAATTAAAACTAACTGTTGATTTTTTAATTTAAGTCAAAAAAATAAATAGATATTCTGTATTAAAATAATTAATTAAAAGTAACTGTTGATTTTTTAATTCAAGTCAAAAAAATAAATAGATATTTTGTATTAAAATAATTAATTAAAACAAACAGGTAATAAT